GACCTTTAGAATGAAATGTGAGTCTCTACCTCTTGAGCTAAGGAAATAACTCATTTATCTGGCAGCTATAGTAGTAGACTTATCATCTTATGTGGAACCAGCCTGTAGAGGGAGATACTCTACCAGTATAATTTACATATTTATCTAATCAAGGAACAGAAACATACTGTGATGTCTGTGTCCTGTCAGACAGCTCTAACTTGTCATATGTACTCTGAATGAACTGCTTGCAAGGAAGCTATGAGCCAAGAATCCCTTGCAAAAACAAATGATTGAGAAAATCGCTCACTGTTAAAAAATAATTTGACAGAAAAGGGCAACATTTGAATGAATGAACGAACAGATTCATGTTAGAATTATTTACCCAGTTCTAACCACATCATTGAGCCAGTGCATCCTTTTAGTTTGGACAATCAGTGACTCTCTCTTTCGCTCTCCAGAATTATTCCCTTTGTACGACCTGTGCGATATGAAGATGTACAGCAGAAAGTGAAAACAGCCTTTGGCCAACCACTGGATCTCCATTATATGAACAATGAGGTACAGACACTTGCCAGGCAGTGAACACTGGCTACTCCAGAGACTGAATTTGAATTTAATTTCAGATAGAATCTGGAAAGCTGTTACTGTTAGCTCTGGGGAGGAAACAGCACTGCTAGCAAAAATCACCTGTCTTCTAATTGTTTGCTTTGGGAACATTGACATCTTACTTTCTCTTGTACGTGTTTTTTGGAGGGGATGGAGGGTTTCAGGGGAAACTGAAGAAATTTGGAGTAATTTCCCATTGTGTTATCCATTCCAAATGCTGGTTCTGTTGAAATTCCCTTTTGTCTCCCCTTCCCCCCCACTCCAGGAACATAGAATCATAGAATCCTAGGGCTGGAAGAGACCTCAGGAGGTCATCGGGTCCAGCCCCCTTGCCCAAAGCAGGACCAATCCTAACATGCTACTGGCCTTCCTCTTTTTCCTTATCCATACTGTATCCTAAAGGATGGATTAAAAAAAAATCTGTCCTTACCAGTAATGGTGCCATAAAAAACTAAGAGAATAAGTGGATCTTCCGTGCTGGAATATGATTTGACATTCTTTAAGACAAATTGTTCTCCAGAACTTTCCTTGGGGCAAAGATCCTGTGTCTGATAAACATGAAAGTGCAACGTTCTGTAAACATTCAGAGGACGGTGATTGCTTTTTAGCACCAGTGTGCTAGGTGCTGCACAAGATATCCAGTGAAGATAATATCTGTCCCAAAAGAATTTACAATCAGATAGAAACGGTAGACAGGATACATTAAAGAGGCAAAAGTAAGGTGCTGGATTTTTGTTTGCTTGCTTGTTTGTTTAATTAGCTTGATTAATTTTTTGGCATCTCAAATGATAGCATCTTTCCTGTGGGCTATTCACTTTTACTTTTATCATATATACGGTGGAGTTATGCTATGGTGGAAGTATGGCAGAAAGCGGCGCACTGTGAGGAAAAAGTAGTAGGAGATAAATGAGACCTTGAGAAGACCACCTGATAAGAGTTGGTTTTAAAGATGCAGGCTGGGATGGAGCAGTGTAAGACCTTGTCTCCAGTGTAAGATGGAGGCAAGCACAAGATGTTTGGACAAGTGAGGATCCAGGGAGGCAGATCCTATTAGGTGAAGATAATTTATTGGCTGAATTTTGGATGTATGGCAGGCTGTGGGGCTATGTCTAGACTGCAAGCCTCTTTCGAAAAAGAGCATCTAGACTGCAAGCGAAATTAGTATGTAACACTTAGAAGAGTTGGATACATTACATAACTTCCCCAGGAGTCTGTCATTTTTCCCCCCTAATGAGATGCTCCTGAGCCTCTGTGCTTAATCTCATGGCTTTGTAGCAAGGTGCACATTCTTCTTTTTATTCTCTCCCACAGGTGCTCAATCTTGTCTAATCTGTCTTAAAAACCCTGTTGTTCCTCCTTCCTACATTAGCCTGTTATCTGAGGCCACTTTCCATCTGTCCCATTAATCTTGGATTCACAAATATCACTCAGGACACTGCTGTTGTATCAGGAAGTGAGGAACCTCTTCCAGACTCTGTGTGTGTGTGTGTGAGTGAGAGAGATCCACAGAGCAAATTCATGTAGAAATCTCAGCCTCTTTGCAGCTTATTCCCGTGAGGAATCTTCTGTGAGGCCAGCCAATATTGGGAAATGGGTGGGAGGAATGTCCCATGCAGAAAGAAGGCATCATGAAGAGCATTAGTAGAAATCCAAGGAAAGGATAATGAAACATTTGGAATCCTATCATATATTCTGTGTCTTCCAGTGTTTGTTTAAATGCCTTATTGGACAATACATGATAAATGTATAGCTCTACTAACTGAGTTTCTTTTTGTTCTACATTTTGCAGTTGTCTATTCCTTTGAAAAATCAAGATGACCTGGATAAAGCAGTAGATCTCTTGGACCGAAGCTCAAATGTGAAAAGCCTTAGAATATTACTGCTGTCCCAGGACAGAACCCATGTAGGTAACCAATTCTGTGACATTGCAATTAAGTCAAATGCTTGAGATTTTTCACCTTGAGATCTTTGTCCCCTAGTTAAAGAGCCTTGCACTGCAGTGATACTCCAATAGGAGAAGTAATAAAAAGTAGTAAGGCTGCTCTGCTTCACGCTTCACATTCAAATAGCCTCTTTGCTTGGACTTTGCTA